TTTTAATCAATTTCGGAGGGTCAGCCTTACGAAGGAATAGGGTTGAATTATCAGACGATTCAATCTTCACAGTACGTTACGCTACATAATTTTTCTTTTTACCAAACAACCTTGATCTTTATTTTTTTTTTTCTTTTCCTGATTTCATAATAAAAAAAAAAGCACATCTCTTATTTTTCCGTTTAACATTTATGATATTCATTTAAAAAAAAACAATACGACATTTAAACGAATATAATTTAATAATATTGATTTCATTTTTTGTGAATCATTTTGTGGTACGAAAAGCGTGAAACAAGAATTATAATTCGTTGAAGGATACCTCCGGGAAACGAGGCAGTTTTACAGAGAATAAATGAACCACGGGGGTGTACAGATAGTATTCGAACCTCCGTCTTCACGCCCTCTAATTACCCCATAGACGAGGCAGACCCTTCAATGAGGGGCCATAAATTTCGGTCGCATTTGAAAACAGCCCCTGAAAGTGATACGACAGGACAGAAAGAGAGGCTTTTGTGAACCACGTCCATGCATCTTGAAAATTGCTATCGAGTGGAAGAGGAACGTGGCCGATAAATGTAACTAACCGTTTCAATCTTACGCAGGCGATAATAATTGTCGGATAAATATGATTTCTCCTCTCTTTTTTTCTTCGTCTCTCTTTTTTCATTGTGAATTATCTAAATAAATGGTTGTCCATCCAAATAAAAGATCCGTTTATATCTATGACGATTCATTATACGGCCGATATCATATTATATTGCTTCATTACCGTAACACATTTAATAAGAGAGACGTTTACATCTGAAAACGGTGGCGATACTAACGCTTCGCCGGCCCCCCCATAAATCACAATGAATTTCAACCGCGTGTACCCTTTGATGTTTATCACGGCCAATGATACAAATGCATTCCGCGCAATCAAGTTTCTTCGCCTCGATCGTGATACGTATATACAACTGAGCAGTACGGTAGTACTCAAGAGAGCGTTAATGTTGTCCCGAGATCGTGTTCCCGTAACACCGATCCGCAATAAAACGGAGTTAATGATACCGTGTCTATACCCTCTTCTGATTTGTGCGATTTGGGCGGCATAATCACTTCTTCAATCACTTATCGCACATTTACCAACGACGTTTAGCATGAATACCGTTAGGGGAGGGGGAAGAGAGGGCGATAAATCATCATGGAACGGCATCTTGCGTTTCTTGGCCACACTCGCGTTTATTACATAATAGTTAGAAAAATTATCGCCTCCGAAAAATGAATAAAGGTAGGTTGCTCCCACGTTTTGAATCACGCGACGAAAAATTTGAATGTTAGAGATATATGAGTAGTCTTTGAAAAATCTTTTTCTTGACAAATTTCAATAAACCATAAATTATATTTTATGCATACAATATTTTCACATTGAATCTATTATTTATGTGGAATATTTTCTTAAATATATTTCAATTTTTTAATTAATTTTAGTAAATTTTTAATTTAGTAACTTTTTTAATTATATCACTCGTTATTTTTCTTAAAAACTTTATTTTATTTTGAAAATAATATTACATTTTTATTCATTTTAATAAGAAATAAGAAAAAATTTTTATATGATTTCAAATATAAATTTACAAAGAAGAAAAACATTAGAGTGACATTGTTAAAATTAGAACTCATTAAACTGACAATTATCTTTTTATTTTAATTTTTTATATTATAATTTATATTATAACTTATCTTATTGTAAAAATAAATGCATATAATAACGCTAAACTAAATAATTATTTTATTTTTCAGATTTATTACCAGATTATTTCAGATTATTACAAAAAAAATATAAATACAATTTTATTCATTTTTTTATGCGAGAATTTAATATTCCTAACCTCCAAATTGTTCGAGACTCATTTAATTAAAAAGGTGGAAGATAAGAAGAATAATTTGTTTCGACAATGGGTTTGTTTCAACGAGTAAGAACATTTTTCTTATTCACGCTAAGATATACAAAATATACAAATTCGTCATCTTTTCAGGAACCGACGGCAATAACATCATATTCACGAATCGGTTTTCGTAGGTGCGTGACGATAAAGCCAAATTATTTATTATAGGCTTTCGGTATGAATGCCGGTAGACGTTGATGGCTCTATATTTACCCACGAGACTTTAATCTACGACGAAATAATCCATAATCCTGTATCGATAAATTTTGTTACATGTGTAGGTATCAAGCTTGTACACTGTGGACGTTGAAGAGCACTTGCCCAGCGAAATGAGTCAACGACTTTCGATCCGCCAAGCGCATAGAAACCTGTTCGACGAGAGTGCAAGCCGATCAATCGCCTTTTCCCATTCCTACGATTCCTCCTACGATCGCCGCGCATTCCGTCCCGATTTCCACACTTGTAACTTATACAATTAAATCTTCACATAAATGCAAGAAGGTATAGTATTACGAGGTCATAAAATTAACCTTTATATTATAATATTTAAATATCCTTTTATTTAATATAAAATTAAAAATTTATTATTTTTTTCTTAAAAAATTTTCAAATCCAACAGTACTCATATTTCTTTAGAATTTTTTTTTTATTCCAAATTTTAAAATTTTATTGACAGAAATTGAATAATTGAAAATTTTGTTTATTGATACAAGGATTAAAATGCAATGTAATGTATCAGGATTGGGGAATTAGGAAATTTAAAACAATGTATAGTCCTCGATGTTATGTATCACGATTGACATCAGTCGATATCGCCTCCTAATGGTATAATTTACGACCTGGTTATACTATGGCCCATATTATAATGCGAACCGCTTTCGAAGAAGCGTCGATCGAAGAAGTATAAGCGGAGCGCGTGCGCGCGCGCGCGCTCGTGCGATCCGAACGATTCATCGACTATAAATCTTGTTGCAGTTATTGAATGGAAGACACCGAGTTGATTCAGGAATACGCGAGCAAAACGACGCCAAGGTGGAGAGAGGTTATTTTCCTTGGGGCCGTTTGAGCCAGCCTGGGCCGAAACTGTGTTAGATGAAACGAGAGCGCAACATCGCCTTTCTTCTTGAATATTAAAATTCCTTTTCCCTTTTTGAATTTAGTATTTATAGAAGGACGTAAAGAATAAGGTTTGGATTCAATAAAATCCCGTTTCTTGTCTTTGAATAAGCACGCGCCTACGTCACGAAAACTCATAAAATAATCCCTACACCTTTGTATGCATAAAGAGAGAGGACCTCAAGAGTGGTCCTACAGCGGGAGGGAAAAATAAAAAAAGAACCGGGAGAAGAGGGCCTTAAACCAGACTAAAGGGCGCGAGAAGGAGGCTAGGGGAGGAACATCGTAGGTAAAAGCGAAACGAGAACTACTTTGAGAAAGAAAGAGATGGTAACAGAGAGAAGTGATGAAGAGAGAGAGAGAGAGAGAGAGAGAGAGAGAGAGAGAGAGAGAGAGAGAGAGAGAGAGAGAGAGAGAAAGGAAAAGGACCGAACAACGAAAGACGAACAGTTTAAGACCCAGCTGAGTTGGAAGAGAGAAGAGGCGGTGACCAAAAAGTGAGATAGAGCTCAGAGGCCTCTGGTGATTATATATCTGTCTACGACAAAGCGAGAGGATGCTAGGGAACCTCTCCGGCTACAGAGGGACAAAGATATCGCTAGAAACAGCTGACTACCGGAATTCGGGGTTCCGGAGGGGTGAGTACGACGAGGAAGGCACTTGAACCCCAATTGGACGAGGGCTTCCCCATTATACTCGACGTGCCCAACGATTTTACACGCACTTGACTCCATTCTATCTATTCACCAGACATAACTTTATCGGTGTATACGGCCGATTTTCTACAATTTAGATGTTCGTTTTTTAACGTTTAATAATGCAAATTACACGAGTGTGATATATACGAGCGAATATAGAACAATCAAAAACAAGTATACGTATATGGATACCTAAATAGAGACCTTCTTTCTTTTTTTTAGTCGCAACGTAATATGTAAAGTAATCATGGCTAACTTTGTATTAAACGAAAAGGCTACTTGGCTCAGTTCGAACGTTTCACGGTCGAATCTACGGAATGATACATAAAGTTATGAAGCTCAAGATCGATGAAAGACGCGCGAAAGATTAATATTGGCGAAGAACCAAAAGAGCAAGGTGGTAAGATTTTTTTTTAAAGAACATTCCGGGGGCGGAAACGAGATGCCTCTTAAAAGAAGCGCCTCTTGTAAAGAGAAGAAAAAAAACACGCACATATTAATGATAACTGGAAGTGTCACTTTGCACGTCGCTCTCACGGCGGATAGGTTAGTTATTACCAACCATCCCCCTCGGCACACGGTGCATTCATTCGCGCAGAAGACAGCGGAATATTTTTAGTCCAGTGCCAACTATAAATCCGTTATCTCGGCTACGTTTCATGACGGATACGTCGTATTTCAATCGTCGCACAAATAGACTCGGTCGAAAAAAAAAAAAAAGTTACGATCAGTTTCGACATAACAACACAACGGGCAACTTACATTTGACGATTGTATATACTCGTGTCTTCCATTTTTCAGAGCGGAATGGGGGAATGATTTGTTTAGATATCCATGGCGCGATAGATAATAGATCCACGATATAGCGAAATTTTGCTATATGAAAAATACAATGGAAAAACATGGAGAAACTTGAGAAAGTTCGATTCTTTATCTTTACGCGTGTTCACGCGATTCGAGCGTTGACCGTGAAACGTTCGACGAGGGCGATTTAGCCTGGCGTATAATGGTGCCGAGTAAACTCGATCCACCACGCCTTTCCCGACCACGTGGTCTTCTACACACTATACAGCCGCTGCTCCTCTCTCCCCTAAGCATCATCGTGTATGCTCGCTTCTATATTTCATCACGGCTGTTATGATAATCGTTGTACGAGAGAGAGATCTATCTTATGAATGTAAACTCACCTGCTATAGCCATCCAGGGGTAGAACGTATGGTTGGTGGGTTGCTGATGTAGTTGCGTGGCAACCGGTTGGCTCGCGGACGAGTTCAAACTGCAGGTGTTCCAGGACGACGTGAGGGACCTCGAGGAACTGTTGTTACCAGGACTCGATGCTGGATCGCCGCCTACGAGACCACCGTAGCTACCAACTCTCGTTCCTTCTGGAGTGCACGCTGATGGACGAACCACCGAATTGCTCTGACTGTTCGCTCCCGAGGTCGCTGACTGCCAAACGTCCTTGACGGCCGCAGCTGCCATCACTGCAGCGTAACCATTCTGATGCGCCGATGCTTGATCTTGTTGCTTACAGTCCTTGGTCGCTGTGGTCGAATATGAGGATGTAGTGTGTCCAGTTGCCTCGGGTGTTGTTGAATAAAGTTTGCAAGCCGTCGCGACGCTCGCGTCGTACGGTGAATCTTGAGGTGGTCTCGTGTTCGTTCCTCCGCCCGGATGTATGCCCAATGACGAAGAGGTGTGATGATGATGTTGAGTGGATGCGTAAGGTGACATACCCAGGCCGAGAGGGAAACTTCGATAGGCAGCTGCTGTGGCTGGATCATGATGTTGACTGGCGGCTCCTGTCTGATGGTGGTGACTTCCGTAGAAGCCACCCGCAGTCTGCTCAAAATACGAGTTCATTATCCCGGGTATTTTGAATCACTTGCACTGAAACACCGCCACTCGAGAAACAATAAAAAATATAACGGCGAACTCGCGATCGGGGAGGCGAATTATGAAAGGCCTCGTTCAAACAATTCTCGTTGTATATTGTTCTCGTCTATTTTTTCTTCGTAATTGTCGAGAGGACGGAGAGAATGGAGAAATAAGTTTTTTTTTAATTGCGAACAATATTAGAGTCCATGCTCTGCGCGATATTTCTCGTCGCGTTTTCCGAATGTATTAAAAAGGTCCGTTCACCGTTTAAGATCCACTATTCGCCCCACGGAAGACGAAGAATATCGAATTGGTCGTGATAGTTCCGAGTTCGTGTTCCGGTAGTAGTTGGCGCCAAAAAGCGAGAGGTAGGCGCGTCGCGTCCAAACACCGATACGCTGTTTGACGCGGGTGGCGACAGGTGACAGCGTCGACAAGGGACAAGCAAACAGGCATTAAACCGTTTTAAGAGGTCATAAAAGTCATCGGTAGGTATAAGCGGTTGCACCCAAGAGTGTCAATGTCAATAGGCCGTACGAGTATAATTCCGAATGGGACTCATGGCAGCGGCGGGGGCTTTTATGAGCTTGTTATGGTTACCGCTACCGGTAAGAATGTAAACCGGCGGTCTAGGTGGTGGAAACGGGCGATGATCGTTAAACCGTTACGACGCAATAAACCGGGGTAATAAGACGGGCTATAAAACTGGCTATGGGTCTCTACCGCGTGCGCGCCCGTCGACGTTTGGTCGGCCGGCACGCGACGATCTCTCCCTCGCGGAACACCTCTCTCTGTTTCTCTCCTCTATCTCGTATATCGATATGATATCGTGTGATATGATTTTCTGAATCGGTCACTAGGCCCGGGGCCTCGTGCGTCTCGTCTCGGAAACTCGGTCGTACTTTTTTAAAAGGACCGAAGCAACCGCTCCGACTCTGTCCGCACTGCACTAGCACTAGCCGAAATGTGACTTCGCTGATGACTGCGAGGTTCGGTACGAAGCGACGTACGAAGGGGATCGTAACGAACCACGGTATGCCAGTGCGGTGGTCCACGGCACACTACCGCTTTTCTCGCGCCCCGTGTACCGCCACTCTGTACCGTCCTCTGTCTCTTACTCGCTCGTTCGTCTCCTTTCCTCTCTCTCTTTCACCATCGGCCTCTCTTCCTTCCACTGATGACTTTCCCGTCTCTCTCTCTGTCGCTCCCTCCCTATCACTCTTTCTCTCTTCCACCAGCCATCGTTTCTCCTCTTTCTCTTTTCCACTATCATTCCCTCTCTTCCTTTGAACGGCCACGGTCTCACTCGCGCGCACACACTCTTCCACGGTGCGGTGTGCCTCTACGTGGCGACGAGGAACGCGCGCTGCTTTTCCTCCTTGTCTTTCACGCGGCGTCCCCCTCTCNGCGATAACCGACTTCTCTCGCTTGCTCCGTCGTCACTCGGTTCCCCCTCCCCCGCACAATACGCCCCCTCCACGCTTGCCACTCACCCTCTCGATCCGTCTCGCTCCACCTCTCGACGACGCGACGCGTCTCGTCTCGTCTCTTCCGTACTCTCTTCCACCGATTCTCTTCTCTCTCTCTTTCTCTCTCTTTCTTTCTGCCGATTAAACTACATAGCGCCCCCTGTCGACTGTTCGAGTAACTCAACGATGTGCCGCGAGATTAAATTCGTATACTCTCGCTACTTGGCTTTGCTGCATTGCATTCAAGCCGCTACTAAACTAGATAAGACGGCCGACGAGACCGGAAGAAGTTAAGGAGAACCGAAAAAGGATAGAGAAGAGAGAGAGGAAAAAGAAATGCTCAGAATCGGCGGATAAACGAGTAACGAAAAGAGACGAAAACACACGGTTGCTACGTAGGGAGTAAGAGTACTATCAAAGGTAAAGAGAAAGAGAAAGAGGGAGACTAGGAAAAGAGAAATAAGAAGAGAGAGTAAGACGCAAAATTGCGGCAGCTAAGAGGGAGATGAGAAGTGTTAGCCCGCGTCGCTGTAAAGGTGAGGAGGAGGGGGAAGAAAACAGGGTGCCAAGGGAGGAGGTTATGCTTAAGGACCAATCAGAATTGAATTCGTCACGAGTACCACGCCGGTACAGCACGAAAATTCCTACGCCATGTGAAAGTAGTTCCAACTTGGAACGACGCCCATGACTGGTTAGGCGCCGCCCCGTGTTACCCCCACCAGTGGAAACACGCGAGCAGCCGTGGATACAGACACATCGGCCGCCGTACGGTAGAGCGAAAGCTGCACGCCACGCGCGTCACGCAACGTTTCCTTTCCTACCC